TGGGGAAGGGGCAGGGACACAGCTGGGAACATCGCTGCGTGGGGAAGGGGCAGGGAAAGGCCTGGGAAGGGGGTTCACCACAGGCAGGGAAGGGGATGAGTACCAAGCTGCAGGGTGCTCATTCACCTCTGTGCCCACAGCTCAGGGAACAGGCATGGTGCTGCAGGAGTCCAAGGTCCACCTCATGGACACAGAGCTCTGCAACAGCAGCCCATGGTATGCAGGGGCTGTTCATGCTGACAACCTGTGTGCTGGGTACCCACAGGGCAGCATCGACACCTGCCAGGTAGGAGCGTGTGATGAGTCCCTCAGACCCCGATAGCACAGGGACCCCCTCATCCCCCACACACAGCCCGGCCTGTCCCCTGTCCTGCCCTCCCTTCCCAAAGGCAGCCCCCCACAGTCCCTGAGCCATCTCTCCTGGCACAGGGGGACAGCGGGGGTCCCCTCGTCTGCAAGGACAACAGAGCTGACTACTACTGGCTGGTGGGGTTGAACAGCTGGGGAAGAGGCTGTGACAGAGCCAGGCACCCTGGGATCTACACCTCCACTCAGCACTTCTACAACTGGATCCTGCTCCAGACGGGCCTGAGCCCAGCAGAAAGAGCTGGTCCAGCACCAAAGCCAGTCGTCACCTTGGCCCCTGAGGAGGAGCCTGAGGAACCAGAGGAACATATCAGCTTGACCCCCGAGTACAGTCAGAGACTAGCAGTGACATCCTCGGGCACGTCACTGCCCATGGCATTCCCCCACCAGATCCTGGTGCAATTCTGGAATCTGCTGCAGGAGTTCCTGCAGTTTTGGAAGGGCAAAAAAGCCTGAGCAGCAGTGCAGTGGGATGAGCAGGATCCAGGGCTACAGTGGATCACAGCAGATCCTGCTGGGCCAAAGGTAGCCTTGGGGCCAGAGGCTTCTCTGTCCTGCCCATGCTGCTGTGCTGTGGCCACAGCAATGCTGATGTGACTGAGGTGTTGAAGTAAAGTTTCTGTGCTCACCATTAACCGTCTTTTCAGCCCTGCTCAGTGCACCTGCAGGCTCTCAGAGTCCCTGCTCTATCTGTCCATCTGCTGTGCTGTCCACATTCATTCTTCAGCCTGGAAAGGGCTCCAGGGAAACCTCAGTATCCCTTGCAGTGCCTGAAGCAGGTTATAGTAGTGGGGGAGAGCAGCTTTTTGCATGGGCAGGGCATGACAGGACAAGGAGGAATGGATTACATTAGAGGAGGGGAGGCTGGGGTGAGGTGCTGGGAAGGATTTATACTCAGGGGGCAACAAGGCCCTGGCACAGGGTACCTAGAGAAGATGTGGCTGCCCCTGGATCCCTGGAAGTGTCTAAGGCCAGGCTGGACAGGACTTGGAGCAACCTGAGATAGGTGGAAGGTATCCCTGCCCATGGCAGAAGGTGGAATGAGGTGACTTTTAAGGTCCCTTTCAAACCAAACTATTCCATGAGTCTGTGACTTAGAGTGTGTCTGTATCCAGCTCTCTGGAATGCAGCATCTTGTGCACAGACACACACACACACAGAGACCATGGCCATGGCCACATCCAACAAGCTGTGACAGAACCAGCCCCTGGGTGTGAGCCCACCTGCATCAGCTGTATGGACCTGGAAGAAGAAACCTGTTCTTAGCAGCCCCTGGGATCTGGGGCACTGGCTCAGCTGGGAGCAGGCTAGGCTGGCCTGTGGCCTTAAACCACCTGGGACCTGCCTCCTTATAGCAGCAGTACAGCGAGGATGCCATCTCATAGCTCTGTAAAAAATATCTTTTAGTGTTTGCTTTCTGCAGCAGCTACCACTACAGTGCCTGGGCAGGATCCCTCCTGCAGGTCCAGGATGTCTCACTTCTCCTAGGCAGCTCTTTCCTGAGGGAGCAGTAGGAATGAGCTACCATCCATGTGGAATCATGTGGCATTCTCCCAACCCTCTCCTGAGCGAAATGTGCAGCAGGGAGTGCCGAGCCAATGAAGATCCTGCCCAGGTAGGCTCTCACAAGAAGGGAAGAGGCCCAGCTGCCCGCCACAGCTCTAGGGCATGAGAAGCTCACTGTCCTCCATGCAGGCCCCAGAAGTCCAGAGCCAAGGGGAAAACAGGCTCAGGGGCCAGGCCTAGGCAGATGAGGGCTCCTCTTCAGTGCAGCTCTTCTCTTTATTTGACAAATCCTTGCTTGTGTTCTGCAAGTCAAAGCTCTGGAAAGGAGCAGGACAAGGAACTGCTGAGAAATTACACAGACTGCAACAACTGTATCTGCTGTGGCTCTTTTAGACTCGGCCTGGGGCAGTGAGAGCTCTTGTGATGGTTCCCACTTCCCCCCTCCCAGCCCAGAGGGAGCAGCACACAAAGCCCAGCAGAGGGCAAAGCTTCCTGTGCTGCACACAGGGGAAAGAGGGCAGAACTGCTCATCCAACAGGACTCAGGACAGAGCAAGGACAGAAGCTTCCCTACCTCCAGCTCCCGCAGGACCTCGTCCATGAAGTCTCCTGAGTGCTGTTTGTAAGCCACGGCCAGTCTGATGGCGTCGTTGAAGAGCTGGTGGGAAGGACAAGGCCCGTCACTCACGGGATGGGGCACATAGGCATTGGGTTTCTGTAGCAGATGGAGACTGTTCCCACATCCCAGGAGAAAAAAAACCCTCTGCAGCTCTCCATAGCCACCAGCCTCTCATGTGGAGCTGAAATGATGGACCGTTTCCTGCTCTCTGTGTCTACAGCACCCCCCATTCCCTGGGCTGCCAAGAAACCTCATGGACAGCAAGCCCAGCAGTCAAATGCCCATCTCACCTTCACCACATTGGTGCCGTCGGCAGCAGACACAAAGTAAAAGGGCAAACTGAATTTCCGGGCAAAATTGAAGCTTTTCTGGGTCACCTTCATATCCGCTGAGGCAGACAAAGAAGACATGGTCAGTAAGACATGGCAGGACGTCCAGAGGGTGGGTGTCTTGTGTGTGGACACGTCAGCCCCTGCTGAGCCAGACAAGCCACAGCCCTGTGACAGTAATTGCCAAGGGCTGGCTAGCATTCCCCATGGAAGGGAACCTTCCAGCCTCCTGCAGAGCCAGGTGAACAGTTCTGGTGAACAGCAGGTGCACTTCAGCACAGAGGAGTCTGTGCAGGCTGAAGGAGCACCAAGGCCATCCCTGACTGATCCAGGGAGCCACAGAACAGCTTTTGCTTTCTTTTGCTGCCGTTTTTGACAAGGTGCTATTCCAATCACTTTTGGGTTTTTGATTAATAGAATAGGCAGTGTGGTAAGGACAGAACTGGAAGAAAAATGCTTGAATAAAACTGAAATGGATGAAATTTGCATTTTTAATTGCTGGTGACACAGGACAGGAACCTGTGAGACAGCAGCTGAGGTCAGCACAGGACTCAGCTCTGCGGGACTGAGGAAATCCTCTGGACCTAACAGACAAGGGACACTGGTTCTCAGTGAGGGCAGCAGTGAATCCCACCATGACCCTGGCAAGCTGGGAGCTGAAGGCACACTCACCATCAATCTTGTTGGCCACTACAATGCACGGAATCTCTGGGCGGAATTCCCGCAGCTCCTTGTACCAGCTGTTCAGGTTCTTGTAGGTGACCTTCCGCTGCACATCAAACACCTTCCAAGAGAGAACCACCTATCCCAGGGCCAGCCCAGCACGGCTGAGGGCCAGCCCAGCACGGCTGACTGCCCCAGGACAGCACTGACCAATCTGTGGGGCCAACCCAGGACAGCTCCTACCAACACAAGGACAGAATCCAGAGTGTTCCCATGAAGACAAGACAAAGGGAACTGGGTGTTATTAGAAATGGTGAAGGAGAAAGGGACAGTATCGCCAAGCCCAGGTAGCAGGAAACAGCCCTTGATTTCCTTTCCACTGTCCTGTGTCCTGTGCAAGTCTCTGCCACCCACACGGGGAGCTGGCACTGGGAACACTGTGTGCCAAGCATGATCAGATGTGGCCTCCTCTGTTCTGACAACTAAACCACCAATGAAAATCACTGGTGGAACAATGGAAAGTGAGAGCGACAGGACAAACCAGGAGATCTGAGCAGGAGAAGAGCCAACAAAACTGGCAACAGGGACAAATATCAGGACACTGAGAAGAAAGTAGAGCCAGGGGATAGAGGAAAAATGTTACCAGGAGAGTCAGACCAGAGCTAACAGCTCCATCTACAGGGGGTTTATCGGGTGAGAGAAGAAAGAACAATCTAGGAAAGTTTTATAAACCACTGGAAGAGACAAGGAGCACACAGATATGTAACCAAAAAGTAACACAAAAGCCATGTGTCACTCAGACCATTCTGCGCCCAAATCCCATGGTCCAGCTGAGACTCCCTCACCATGATGCAGGCATGGGCCTGGTGGTAGTAGGAGGCGTGCATGCTCCGGAACCGTTCCTGGCCCGCCGTGTCCCAGAAGTCTGTAACAGAAACATTGCTCAGAATGACACAACTTGCTGAGTGCTTTCTTCTCACAACTTACACCCAGGAGGCAAAGCCCAGCCCACATGCTCAAGGACATGAACTGAGCTTCACCTCACCAATCTGAAACACCTCAGGGTTACAAAATTGTGCCAAACTGGGACCTTTCCTTACTGGGCTTGGCACTAGCCATCAACAAAGGAGAAGCCAGCGGTGACATGAGTTGTGTGGGACAGCAGGATCAAAAGAGGAGGAAGTGCACAGAGCAGTAGCCATGTCTGGCACTCTGTCACTAGGGATGGCAACGGGAAACTACCTAAAACTCCAGGAACTGCTGGACACTGATGGTTTCTGACCCAGTGATGGTCAGCCGGGGCCCTGCCTTGGAAAGTGCTCCAGCTCCTCTCACAGAGATCTGACTCTGCTCTCCCAGGGGCATAAATTGTTCTGAAATGCTGAAGGTAAGGCTGCCAGAAGCAAACAGGTCCCAGTTCATGAAGTTCTGTATACACCAGATATCATGGGGCAAACCTCGATACAGCCATGCCTTTTGCTGTTGGTGCAGCTCAGGTGGAGATCCCCCACCTCTCACTGGGTTTGCAGGTTCACATCTGGCTCTGGTTTGCTGTATAAATTGGCACAGCTTCAGTTAAGCACCTCAGTGTAGTCACACCTCTTGTCAGCTGGACCCAGAGCCAAATGAGCCAGTTTCCTTAGGGATTCCTTTGCACTGATACTGTGATTGGACTCTGTGTCAGGCCTACTGGACAGTGACTTTCTTAAACTGCCCAAATACAGATATGTACCCACCAGACCACATTTGCATTCAATGTCTGTGTCACAACAAAGATGTTGAGCACTGTCAGCCCCAACCTCAATGAACCATGACCAGTGACTCCATGCGGTCATCCAGGCCATTCTTTATGCTCTGTTCACCCATCCATCCAACGCCTGTCTCTCCAGCTCGGAGTGCAGGACATCGTGGGGACAGTGCCCTACATTTCGCCAAGCCCAGGGTATGATAGCAGTCACTTTGCCCCATCCACCAACGCTGCAGCCCCGTCCCAGAAGGGCACCATTTTGTCACTGCCGCTATCAAAACACGTAACCGAGACCCAGACCGAGAGGATCTACACTTCCCGGCCGTTCCCTCTGCCACGGCTCCGCACCTCCCGGGCCGGCCCCACTCACCCACGCGGACCTCCTGGCCGCCCACGCGGGCGCGGTGCTGGTACAGCGTCAGCGCGAAGGTGGAGAGCTGCTGGGGGCGGCCGCGCCGCGTTAAGGAGCGCACCGAGAGCCGCGGAGCCCGCGGCCGGGCCGGGCCCGCCGCCGCGCCGCCCCGCTCCCCCGCTGCCAAGGATACAAGCCATCGAGCAGGAACCGCTCCAGCAGCCTGCGGAGAGACACGGGCCGCTGTCAGCCGCGGCACCAGCCGCCCGCCCGCCCGGCTCCGCGGGGCCCCCGCCAGAACCCGCGCCCCACGCACTTGGACTTGCCCACGGCGCTGTCGCCCAGGCAGATGATCTTCACCGTCTGCTCCGCGCCGGCCGCGGCCTCTTCGCGGGCCCCGTCCGGGGCTTCCTCCGGGGCCGCGGCCCGGCCCTGCTGCTCCGCCGCCGTCGCCATGGCAGCGCCTGCGCGGCCCGCCCGCCGCGCGACGCTGCCTGGCCCCGCCCCGCCCCGCCTCAGCCCCGCCCCGCCCCGCCTCAGCCCCGCCCCGCCCCGCCCCGCCCCGCCTCAGCCCCGCCCCGCCCCGCCTCAGCCCCGCCCCACCTCAGCCCCGCCCCGCCCGGCGCATGGCGGCTATGGCGGGCCCCGCGCGGCCGCTGCAGCTGACGCTGGCGCTGCTCAAGCCGGACGCGGTGGCCCATCCGCTCGTGCGCGAGGTGAGGGCCGGGCCGGGCCGGGCACGGCACGGCACAGCACGGCACAGCAGGCCTCGCCACGACTCCCCAGCGCCGCCTCTTCCCGCAGGCCGTGCACGCCGCCATCCTCCGTCACCGGTTCCTCATCGTGCGCGCCAAGGAGCTGCGGTGCGGCGCGGAGCAGAGCCGCCGCTTCTACCGGGAGCACGCAGGTACGAGCGGGCTCCGGGTGGCGGAGCGGGATGCTGCCCGGGCCGGCGCCGACTCGGCCCATGTCTGTCCGCAGGGCGTTTCTTCTACCGGCGGCTGGTGGAGTTCATGGCCAGGTACGACCGCGGGTGCGCGGCACGGCCCGCGCTGCCGTGGCGCGGCTGCGGAGGGTTCGCCGGGCTGTGCGGAGCTGGGAGGCTCCGGCCGCGGCGGGAGCAGTGCCGGGATCGCAGCCTGCCGTGACAGCGGTGGCACCTGGCGGGTGGCACCCCGAGGGTGCTGCAGGTCATCGTTCGGAGTAGGGCAGCAGTGCCAACGCCGCCGCGGTGGGAGCGCGCCCCTCCCCATGGCGCGGCAGGGCAGGCTAGGGCCTAGCGCGGCAGCCCAAGGCGGCTGTACCGGGCAGGTTTGTAATGATGAACAACCTGTTTGAAATGAGCTCTTCGTGATCTTTCTCCTACTGTTCCTGGGCCCTTGCTGCAGTGGTCCCATGTGGGCTTACATCCTGGCCCATGAGAATGCTGTCCCTCTCTGGAGATCCGTGATGGGGCCCACCAAAGTGTTCCGAGCCCGACACAGCCACCCAGACTCCATCCGAGGTGCCTACGGCCTTACAGACACCAGGAACACCACCCATGGCTCAGGTAGGCCTGGCGTTCTTGGGTGGTTCTTGCGGAGGCAGAAATGATGGTGCTTTGTCTGCCTTTGCTTTAGTTCTGGGGCTCTAAGTGAGCGATTTGTTCCTTTCTGCACACCCTGTGCACACCTGGCCAGGTGCAGGCACCTTTGGAGTCTGGCACGTGTCTGTGGTGGCAGACTGGCAAGTCTCTCTCATTGCCTTTCCCTCTCTTTTGACAGACTCACCTGCCTCAGCCAGCAGAGAAATTGCCTTTTTCTTCCCCGAGTTCGACAAGCGGCGCTGGTACGAGCAGGATGAGCCCCAGCTGCGGCGCGGGCAGCTGATCTACAGCGCCGAGGAGTGCGTGCACCGCGTGCTGCGGGCACAGCAGGCACAGGTGACCTGAATTACCCGCGCAGGCTGTGCTTTGCTGGCCTGGCAGCACCTGTGGGTGCTCTCCTGGGGTGCCAGATGCAGAGCTGTGCTGAGTTTTGGGGAGCATGGGAGAGGGAAAGCCTCGTGCGCGTTGTGCAGCCTGGGATCATCTATAACAGGCAGATGCTGGGGTGGTGCAGGAAGAGTTCCCCAGCAGTGCTAGTGCTGACAGTCTGGCCATGCAGCTCACTGGCCCCTCTGTTTGTTTGGGTGTGAACAGGACAGATGGTGAGTAGGTCAAGGGCCAGGAGAAGGATAGGCTGCTTGTTCCAGATGGGATTGGCCTGGGTTTGCTGATGGGAAGCCTCAGATTCTCCCTGCTGGCTGTTCCCACGGTCCCTTAGAGAGAAAAGAAGGAAAAAGAATGTGAAGAAAGACATCAGCCAGGCAAGGTGAACTGTCCTGTCCTTGCTCACCTGCAGCTGGGCTGGGAAATGAGGAGCTTTGCCAATAGCTCTGCATGTGAGAGCACTTGGAGTCCTCGGTGTTCACAGCCTGACTGGGTGCTGGGGCAGTTCTGTGTCCTTGGGAAATGGGATGAACAAAGCCATTGAATTACCCATGTATGTGGTGGAACGATGACAGGGTGTTGCTGGAGGGGTTGGTTGGGAGTTAGAGAGCTGGGTCCTGGTGGCTGGTTTGTGTTTCTCTCTGTGATGCCGTGTGAGATGTGTTCCTGGACGGGGTTTCAGTCCATTTATGCTGTCTCCCTACGGGCTTCTTGCAGTGCTGCCGTTTTAGTTACAGTGCCCTGTTGGAATTTCCTTTGGGCAGTCCCAGATGCTTGGGCTGGGGAAGGTGTGCTGTGCTGTGCTTGGGGCAGGAAAGCTGAGCCGGGATTCGCCAGAGCCCTGGTACATCACAGAGCCAAGGCAGGGCTCCAGGTGCTTCCAGAACTCCGTCAGGTGTTGGGTAGTGACTGACTGACTCTCTGGTGGACAGCACTGCCCAGGGCTGCTGTGGCTAAACTCACCTGGGTTTGTGTTCCCTCCTCCTCCTGCCTGGATCAAATTGTCGTTGTTCTGTTCCAGGTACAGACCCCGGGATCTGCAGGGCATCACTGCTGTCCCTGTCCTCAGCAGTGTCCAGAGTGGATCTGCTCAGGATCCTGTGTGTCTTCACACGGGTCTGAGAGCTGCTGTCCCCAGTGCTGTTGATACTTTATTGATATTTTGTCAGATGTTTTATTGATTCCTGGGTTTTGCTCAGATCTGTGTGAGTTTCTTTTAGCTATTAAACTTTACTATTTTTCACCTTTCTTTTATGTTGTGCTTTCTGTTTTGGATATTCCTTGGCAATGTCATTAACTGATAATTCCTGTCTCACATGCCATTTTTGAAGTTTTGGTCTTTTTTCCTACTCACTTGCAATGGTTACACTTGGGAAAAGGGCCCTTTTGAACATTGCCAGTGCAGAGAACTCTGCCAGCAGGATTGTCACAGTGACACTGCCTCACAGCCACCGTGGTTCAGGTACCTGCTGGGTGGCACCTTGACATTGCCCTGGCCCTGAGGCTGTACCTGAGCATAGGTGCTCAGACTGGGCATCCCATTGCCCCAGACAGAGGATTTATTGTGTGAATCTAAAGCTGTCCAGAAAACTCATCATAGACCTGAGGCTGAAGCACTTGGTGTTTGATGCAGGAGACAGTGTCAAAACTGATTTTTGGTCTTCAAGGAAGTGTTATGGAATATCACAGATAACTCTGCTTTGAGGGCTCTTATCAAAGTGGGTTTGTTTTGTTTTGGGCTTTTGTTTTTCCCATTTTCTTTTTCTCTTCCTTGCAAATACCCAGTAAGTGATTTTTTGCTTTTCCAGTGATGCTTGCCCCATCCCTGGCAGTTGCTGGATGAGCTGTATGGTCTCTCCCAGCCCATGCTGAAGGGTGTGTGTTACGGCAGTAAATCAGTCTCCCGGCTGGTCTCAAACTGAGACAATGTGGCACCAGGGCAGTTTGAGATGCCTGGTTTTTCTTGGAAGCTGCAGGTGCCTGGCCCACCTGTGGGGTCTGTGCACAGGGCTGGTCACAGCTGTGTATCTGCAGCAGCTTCTGCCCCTGGTGCTGCTGCAAAGCACTGCCTGGGGCACAAGGTCCAGCTCAGGCACCCCTCAGGTGTGGAGCTGGGACAGGTGACTTTGGGCCTAAACCTGATCTGCTCTTGGAAGAATTGAGCAGGTTTGTGTCAGCACTGGAGGGGACAAAATGGCTTAGCCTGGGAAGAAGGGAAGGAAAGGCTTCAGAGGGAAATCAGTGCTGATCCCAGCCCAGGCTGCTTATCCCAGCCCAGACCTGGCCTCAGTCCCTGCCACCATGGGCAGAACCCTCTCAAATTGAGGAATTTCACTTGATTTATTGCTGTAACACAAACTTTTAGTTACTGATTCAGATACCGAGGAAAACCCAAGATAATGACTAAAGAAACACCTGGGGAAACACTTTTCCTCTACTTTCCCAGGTTCAGCTTCAGTCCAACATCTTTTCTCCCCTCTTTCCCTGCAGATTCTGCCTTGTCTCTCCCAGTCCTTGGGGGAGGTGACACAGCACAGAGGGCTGGGCTTTGCTTTTCTACTTGTTGTTTCTTCCTCTTTCCTTCTTGTTTGCTCACTCATGGCTCACCCACAGGCTTCGGTCCCTCAGGTGTGCTCCAGTGTTGTCCCTCCCTGGGCTCGTCCCTTCAAGGAGAAATGGGCCAGTGAGAATTTCAAGAAGTTTCTAGAGGAAAATGCCATGTCTTGCATCTGGGCAGGGATGTTTCATTTGCTAACACTCACGTGAGGGACCAGAGAAGCATCTGGCTGTCCTGATGGCCAAGAGCCACCCCTGAGTCAGCAATGCACTCCATGGTCTGACAGCATCCTCGAGTAGGGGAGCCAGAGCACTTGCCCATAGGTTACCCCCATCCCCTCCTGGGGCACAGGTAAGGCCACATCTGAGCACTGGCACCAGTTTCAGACTCCCCAGTGCAAGACAGCCTGGTCAGAACTGGAGTCCAGCATGGATTGATTAGGACATCTGAGAATCTGACAGGTAAGGAGAGGCTAAGGGCTGGGGCTGTTCAGACTTAGGAGTTCAGTGGGCTTTATCAATGGGTAGAAATCCCAGGTATGAGCAGTGAAGGGAAACTCAGGTGTCTCAAGAATGGACACAAGGCAATGGAAACGACCTGAAAACTGGCAATTTCACTGAGACATAAAAAACCCTCTTGTATTAGTTTTGTATTCCAAGGGTGATAAAATAAGGTCAGGAGCCCCTGTGCCAGGCAGAGCTTTGGCCTCCACACCCTCCAGAGCTCCTTTCTGTACTCCTGGGCAGGTGTGGACCCTGGGGTGTTGTTGCAGTGGCAAGCCCGGCTCTCCTGCGGGGCTGCCCAGCTCCAGCACATCTTCTGCGACGTGCTGCCGCTGCTGGGGTCACCTGTGGCGACACCTGCCCCAGCGAGCTGGCCCTCCACATCTCCAGCATCTTTGTGGGCCTCGGTCCCTTCCTGCTCATCGTCATCTCCTACCTTTGCATCCTGGCCACCGTCCTTGGGATGCCGCTGGCCATCAGCTGGTGCAAGGCCTTCTCCGCCTGCTCTGCACACCTGATCGTGGTCACCCTGTACTTCGTGGCAGCCAACCTGAGCTACAACTGGCCCAGCTCGGGCTACTCCTTGGCAGCTGGCACGCTGGTCTCTGTGTTGTACTGCATCATCATCCCCATGCTGAACCCCCTCGTCTACAGCCTCCACAACCAGGAGGTGTGGGGGGCCCTGCAGAAGGCTGTGCGGGTGAGTGCCACACCAGGCTCCCCAGGCAATGATGCCTGAGCAGTGCCAGGGCTGCCACAGGCTGCCGGCACAGTGCTGCGACTGCAATGTCCATGCTTGGGATGTCTGTGACAGCACAGTGAGTCTGGGGCCCCCAGCCCAAGCACATGGCACACTGCCACCATTCATCTCACCCACGGCACATCACTGAGAGCAGAACGGCAAAATAAACTCGGGAACAAGGCTACAGGTCCGGGATTCTGTCTTTATTTTCTGGATTCCACGTGCTGAGCTTGGCAGAGGACGTGCTGCAGCTCTGCTACTGCCAGGGAACTCTGCAAAAGGCAAATTCATGTGGAGCCAGACACGTGCTGGCCCTGAGCATAGCCACAGGCTCTGCCTCAGGGCTGCCCCAGGTCTTGAGTCAGGCCCAGTTCAGAGCAAGGGACTTTGACTGCAAAACCTGGCCTGGGCAAGAGGGGCTATCCCACCACCCACTGTTCCCACGTGCCTTGGCTTCAAATCTGATGTTTGCTGGGTTTCTCCAGGCTGCCAGGGAGGCTCTGCAGCACTCTGTAATAGGCACAGGCCACTCACGGCCTCAGTGCTGCACTGAGACACGGAGGTCTCAGCACTGAGCTGAGAGCTGGTGGCACCAAACTCCTCACCAGAAATGCTTTGCTTTATGGCCAGAAAAATTTCCCTGTGCAGCTGTTGTGTGTGCTGTGGCTCTGGGTGACTGCCTGAGGACTGGCTGGGGGTCTGCAGCTGGGCCCAAGCTCAAATGATTCTGTGGCTGTGGGGGCAGTGGCCAAATCTGTAGGTGTGCACATGAGGCACAGCAGCGTCCAGCACTGCAGCAGAGCCAGGAGCTGGGGCTCACTGGGGCGAGGGAGATGACACAGGCAGGTGACAACTGCAGTCACACAACCTATGTCAGCTGGACCCAAACATGCTCATCTGTATCTCAGTTACCAAGAGATATCAAACAGTATCCAATCTGTTCCCAAAGCAACCCAGTGCCGAGTCAGAACTGGGACTAGGAGGCACACAGCCTTGTTGGGAGCAGTTTGTCATTTCTCAGTGCACAACACGTGCTGATTTTACTCTTCAGGGAAAGAAATGTTTCTGTAACCCACAGGGTTGGGCTGTTGCTCCTATCCAGACAGGCTGTGAGCCCCCAGCTCTCCTTGCTATACATGCTTTTGGATTCTAAAAAGCCCTTGAAGCACCCTCAGTCCAGTGTCAGTGGACACATCAGAGTCTGACCAGGGAACACTTTCTGAGTAGCTGCTGGAAGGGGACAGCAGGAAACAGCAGAAACCACACAAGGAAAAAGACTGGGGAAGCTGCCTCAGAGAAACAAAAGACCCAAATCACTCCAAACAAAAACCCCAAAGCCAACCAACCAGAAACCCAAACAAGACACTTCTGGAAAGATGATATTAAAATTGATAATTTTTAACCTGAACCCCAATGCACTTTTCCTGTGACAGACAGACCGTTGTTGGGTGTTCCCAGGATCAAACGCTGAGCAGGAGTGCCACACTCCTGCCCAGGCAGTACAGGCTTGGTCAGCTGCAGGGTGGTCCAGAACTCACCTGCGAACCTCACTGAACATTAAAGCTTTAGTGTCACACCGGGACCCCCTGCACACACTGCCGGCAGTGGCAGTGACTGGGGTGTGCTCCCATAGCCCTTCAGGTGTTCTTGCAGCCCCTCAGGTGTGCTCCCACAGCCCCTCAGTCCCACAGCCCCTCAGGTGCTGTTCTACTCAGCTGTCCCTGGTTTATTCCTGCTGTGATGGTACCTACATCCCACAGAGGAACAATTCCCACAGCTGAACATCCACGTAAGAGGTACTGGCTTGAGAGAGGGCTTTATTTTGCATTTCTGAAAACTATTTTAAACATTAGCAATAAAATGTTTCCTCCTGTCCTGCTTCCCACCTGCCCAGCCTTTTGCTCACATGTGTGATGGAGAGTCAGGCTCTTCAGGAGCCTCCAGCAGGCACAGGGGACATGAGCTGTCTCAGAATCACTGGACACAGTTTGAGCCAAGCCAGAGCAGAAGCTGGGAGGGAGGGCACAGCCCCAGGGACAGACACACCTGTGTCCAAAAGGGTCACACAGACCACGTTCATGTTTCTCTGGTCCATGCTGCAAACATGTCTCTTCCTTGGAATAAACACCAGTTTGGCTTTCCCAGCACTCTTTTCCCCAGCCCCTGACTAGGATGAGATCCAGGGCCACAGCAACTGACAAAGTTCCCACAGCTCACACCTCTTCTTCCTTGCCTGGACTACATTTGGTATTTCTGCTCTGGGAATTGCCCTACTGGGAACAGGACACACTCCTGCAAGCTTGCTGGTTGACAGGTGGGGCAGCCTAGATAGAAGAGACCTTATATTGCACTCATATGCTTTTACACCATCCCAACTTTCCTACCTGGAAGTGGATGGGAATCAAAATCCTCTTGGGCATAAGACAAAACATTCCCTCTGGCACTT